TAGTTTATGCTGAGATGAGAGGCCAGTGCTTATATAGGAAACACAGCTGGCTTGACCCTGGATACAGGGAAAGTGCTTAAGTGCTGACCCTTGGCAGGCTTAGCTTTTGCACCTGAAATCTTAAAAAAATTCTTTCACTTTTCTTTGTAATAACATAAAGCATTCATTGGAAAGGAGAGTCTTTCTTCCACCTCAGCAATTGCTCCTTTTAACACAGCAGAGCCTTAAGTCACTTACACACAAAAGATGGGGGGAAGGACAGATCCTTGGCAACACACAGAAGCGATAAAGCTGGTTTAACCAGCTACTTGAGGGCTTTTCATTGTGTCAGGGAATCCCCAGGTGCTCTAGAGCCATATCAGCTCCTACGCCATTTCCCTTTTTGACCCCGGTGCAAAGGGCTTTGCTCAGAAACATGGGCATGGCTGGCCGCTCGCAATTCCTAACTAATGGGAACAGCCCCCTTGGAGGCCCAATGGCAGTAGGGGTAGGTTAGAAGGGCCATGGATTGGAATGGCATAAAACCAGGTTTGCGCACATCTCTTCCCCCCGCCCCCCCACCCCCAGCCCCATCATCCTTCTGAGTTGCTCCAAATGCAGTATGTTGGTGTGATACTTGAATAGCATTGTGGGTCTGAGCTAACTTCCCTTACAGTCTGTCAGATGATTCCCTTTGACTTTATTGGTAGTTAGATCAGGCCCTCCTAGAACAATCATGTAGGAAATCCTGGTGTTGAAAAGTTTCAGAAATAATCTCTGCCATATTGATACATTTCTTTGTTGTTTTTTTTTAGCACTAGATGCTACTGTAATCCCTGGATTGAATATTTGTATTGTAAATGTACATTGGAGATATTAAGTTTAAATAAATGACAAATTAGAATATCTTGATAGCATGCATATTACTGATGTAATGCGAAAACTTGCATATATGGTTTTAGAATTGACATTACAAACCTACGTTCTTTGTTAGTGAAAGTAATTGTGTTACAGTTGAATTGTATAATGTTCTTCTCCATATTTAATAGATATTGGTATGGTATAACAGTGTGTTTTTAAACATTATGGGATGCATCTTCAGCCAATGTAAATCAGCCTATACTAAAAGAAATAGCGCTGAGATATAGCAGCTGAGGATGTGGCCCAGTATCTACAGCAGGGGTCTCAAAGTCCCTGCCTGAGAACCTTCCCACTGTGGCCCGTGGAGGACAGATGCATGCAGCCATGCTGCCAGCAATGTCTGCTGCAGGCGCCGCCCCCCGCAGCTCCCAATGGCTGGGGGAGAGGGACAGAGATACCATCACTAGTCACCGGGCAGAGTCAGCCATGGAGGCAGCATCGTTAGTTGCCGGGCAGAGTCAGCCATGGAGGCAGCATCATTAGTTGCTGGGCAGAGTCAGCCATGGAGGCAGCATCATTAGTTGCCGGGCAGAGTCAGCCATGGAGGCAGCATCACTTTTTTCCACAATGAATATAAACAAGTCAAAATACCGAACACAACTATCTGATGCACACCTTGCTGCAATCCTGAAGGTTTCAACTGCTCAGTTACTGAGGCCAAACATCAACAAACTGACAGAACTGAAGCGTTGCCAAGTGTCTGGCAAACACTAAAAACTCTCTGGCAGGCGAAGAATTGTATACAGTTGTATGACAGTTTTATTATTTCTAAGAAATTCGAAATAAAAAATACAATATAAACGTTTTCTTTTCTGAACACCATCTTCAGTGACATTATTGGCCCGCTGGGAGGATTTGAGAACTGGCACTGGCCATAAGGTAAATTGAGTTTGAGACCCCTGATCTACAGTATTACCCAGTGGGACTACCTACAACAGAAGATAGTAAAAATTGGGGTTGTGGGATAGAGGAAATTAGATAAAGAGCCATGAATGCAGCCAAGTTGTTTTCAGTGTCAACAGAAAAACTTACAATTATCTCTTTTAGAGGCTAAATCTAAGACTTCGTAATATTTATAAAATGTATATAGACACTTCATAGTCAATATTTAACATGAGAGATAGCTTAACAGTTTAATCCCATGTTTTCAATTTCTACATTTCATCTAACTGGAGTTTTTAAATGTCTATAATCATAATATTATATGCAAGCATGGCGTGTTATAGGAAATGGCACTCACTTAAGTTTTACAATATTACATGTAACATTCATTTTCTTCTTTTTCTATTTCATGTTCTCTCACTACTTTCAGTGAATTACTTTTTGGAAGGGTGTGACAGAAAACAACAAGAAGAAAAAGGTCAGTGATATAAAATTTCATGTTTAGAAAAAGTTAACTTTATCACTAAAGGCTTCCTCTGTACTTTGACAGAAGCAGTTTGTACTCACAATGTAAGATTACCTAACAGTACTGTATTGTGAAAGAAATTGTGAAAATTCCAGGTGAGGTGGTTCAACAAAATAGAGGTCAGGATAATGCAGTTCTCCATTTCTTCCTCTCTGCTGTTCAAGCTTAACAAAAAGCAGGGCATATGGCAATACATTTCAGTATCTTAGTTTGCTAGACTCCCCCAAGAAGGAAAAAAAGAACAACGTTGTTCTGTTGAGTCAAAAAGAGATTACTGAGCAGGGTTGCCAAACTTGCAGTATGCTGGTAATGAAGCCATTAGCAGAGTTGAATTCTTACTTTGTCCTAAAAGTGTTTCAATGGAGTCTAATGGGACCTAAATAGTACTAGAGGGGAGACAGAGCTAGTGGGGTGGGAGGACAGAGATGCATTATTATAAATTAAATATCATTGCAAGTAGAGGAATTAAGCATATTGCATTAAGCATGACTATTGCATCTGTGTACTTTAAAGTTAATTATTTTCACTGCTTCCCCTCTTTTAAAATAATCAAAATGCATATTATAATTACATGGGTTTCCAATATCCATACACAGAAAGTACAAGATACTTACATGTAAGTACACTGTAGTTACCTATATTTTTGCATAGTTTTTAGTGTGTACTTTGTGCCACTTAATAAAAAGCATTACTCAGTTGTTTCTATTAGCAGCTGCTTCAATTGAAGTAGCTGAATTTTTTTTGGTATGTTCATCACAGATTACCATTTCCTAAGAGTGAGAAAATTGGACACTTGTAGTAATCTAGTTAGGTGGTGGGAAAAGCTGTGGGGTGAACATGAAGTTTTACATCACCTCCTTATTAAAGAAATGGAATGTCAGATTCATGGTGTTAATTTAATATATTTACCATTAGTTTGGACAGATTAGTAAAGGTAAGAGTTTCATTTTCCTTTTGGTAACACTTTACAGTAAGTGGCACTAAATTACACTATAACTGTTGTGTTACATGGAAGTACATGTAACTACACTGTAACTGTCAAAATAGCTACTGTACATGTGCGTACATGGTAACTTCAGTGCTGTTTACAATCAGTTGAATTACATAATTACAGATGATCCTGTCCTTTCTCTTCATTGAGTTAGTTATATATATATTATGCTATAATGAAACTACACATTAACTTCCATGTATTATTTAGAAAAGTTGGTTTTCTTCATGTATCCTTTATAGAGGAAGTCTCAGTGCAAGAAATGTGAAGACATTTTTAAGTGTTCCAGATTAAATTCTTAGCCTCAACTTAAATATCAGGTTCCTTAAACTGCTTCTTGGATTCTCTGATGACACTAAACAGAATGGAAAGATGCACCCTTTTGCCTGTGATGCCACATGCCTGTTGAATGATTATGTTCTCAAAGCATAAAAAAATTAACATTGTTCTACATTTGAAAGTTAAAAATAATCAATGGACATTGTAAACTGGCAGTAATTAGCTACCTTGTCTTGAGTAAATTACATTGCATGTATTTGTAGGTGTGGATGTTATACTAACATTCTAACTAACATGGTTCCCATTCGGAGCTTTCATTTTACACATTTATCAGATTTCTTGAGACTGTAATGGACTCAATATTTCTGAATGGGATCTTTTTGTATAAAGGAGACAATGTGTTTTTACCTGTTGAATACTATACTTAGTTCTGCGTGAGCCATGATGTTGCTTACAAAGGGCCTGGCATGTATTTATTACCTTACACTCAGTGAAGTCATTTGAACATGTGGATGTAGATGGATGTAAACAACTACCCAATCAGAATTCTCAATTCATTTATACTGGTTGTAGTGTTTTTACAGCCACTTTGCACAAATGTAAATGAAATCACAAGATGCAAGACAGTGGAAAATCAGAAATCCATTGAAAATGAGCACACATTAAGAGTTTTAACTAAAAACCAACCAATGTAATTTAACAGTCCAATTTATTTCTGGTTTTGCAATGTTTCAATGCTGGTTTTACACTACACGGACAAGTTGGCTTTGAGTGGTTACATCTAAAGATGCTCTAACATTTGAAGGTCTCACTTGACATCATGGTAAGTAATGATTTAAGCAACAATTCTACAATTCAAGCAAAGTGCAGTTTAGATAGAATGTATAAAGATGTAAAAGCAGCATTGATGAACAGTTCCACTTCAGTAAATAAGGCCCTGATCCAGCAAAAAAAAAAAAAAACTTACTTTTTAAGCATATGAGTAGTTCCATTGAATTAGGTGGAACTTCTCACATGCTTAAGTGATTTGTTGGCTCAAGCCCTAAGTCCTTAATCAGACTGAGATATACAGTATTGTAATGCTGTTAATGCAACTTACTGTTGTGACAAGAACCTTTCTGTCCTGGTACTAAACTAAATGATTTCCTTTGCCAACTTTTTAAAAGTGTATGCTTTGAAAGACATGAATATCTTGAAAACCTATACTAGTTTCAATGTGTCTAGTAGCACCTACCTGGTTCTCTCAAACTACCATACTATATTAACATATTATTGCATTTTTCCACAGATGGTATGGAGTGAACTGTAAAAAACAAGCATGCAATCACATCAATGCAGACTTATTTCTTTAAAATGTCATACTGTATATGATTTATTATGTTAACACTCAACCACATCATATTATTTATGTTCTATATATTTTGAAAAAGTGCTGCTTGATCAACATCGCCCTCTTTTTCTTAGAAATTAACAAGATAAATGTTTCAACAAAAAGAATGAAAGAAAACAAAACAAAAAATAATACTATAATATTCTCCTTAACAGGCTTATACTCTTCTGATAAATAATCTGACACAGCACCTTTGTCTTCCATTTTATCTTAATACATGATGATGTATTCAGATTCTCCCTCCCCTGCCCCCACAAAAAATAAATCCCAAGAGATAATCCTTTACAATAAGCCATCATGCTTTTAGACTTCACAAGTATAGCAACCGTATAGAAATATTATTTTTCAAAGGTGCAACACTTGGGAGAGGGAGATGAACTCCAAACGATACAGATTTTCATTCTCCAGCATGGAATCACTACCAAGAGTTGATCTGGCACCATTTTTATTTCAGTGGAAGAGGAAATAAGCCATTGGGCTTATAGTGTTTTGTTGTCATATTTAAGAACATGAGACTTTAAGAGAGACTTTCACCATAGAGCTAAAAGCATTGGCAAAAATTCTCTATCATTCACTGTGACATAAGTTTGTACCCCACAAAATGCATAGACAGGAATTTAATATAAAGAATTAGTCCATTTACCGTATACACAAAACATATATCATTTAACGCTTTTTTTTCTTTTTTTTTCTTGTGGTTTTTTTTTTGTTGTTTTTGTTTTTTTGGCAACCCAACATAGATAAGCAGCTGTGGAACTGCCGAATTAAAAATTGAGAATTTAGCAACATAACAGTATTTTTTAAGGATATTAATCAAATGTGGTTGTAATTCAAAACCTGAGGCTGTGCACTGGTTGTTAGCTTAAAACTACCTTTCCATATAACATTGTGCTTCCATTGTATAACAAAGAAAAATTAACAAGAACTAGAAAAGTTTGCTGCTGAACAGTGCTAGGACATACAGACAAAAAATACTAATACATGTTATCTATTCAGAATATTGATTTAAGTCATATCTAAAGGGATATAATGGACATTAGAAAATGCTTACTTGTGACTGACTTAGCTATAGCCAAAAAAGTTAAATATGTATCAAATAATGTTTAATTGGATTTATTATATGCACTATATACAGATAGGAAAATGCTTTGCAATTGTGCCCCATGAACACTACAAATCTGAATAGGCAGGTGAGTCCATATGAAGCAAATAAATTATTAAAACCGAAATTACAGAAACATATCTAATCTTGTGATCCCAAAAAGCAGTAAAAGGGCTGAATAAATTTGTTTTAGAATGAAGCTACCATTATCTAACTCTGCATAATCTGTATAGATAATACAGTGTGATGTAACTACCACCCAAGCATGGAATTAGTATCAAGGTGCCATTTTTAACAATGTATTGATACTCCTTTTCCACCAAATCCAAGCATACAAGAAACTATACTATAATGTTTTCAGTTTGTGGTTCCTAGGGCATATGTTTCAAAAACAGGTTGCCTTTGAATTATAGACATGTATAAAACATTCTTTGTAAACCTCTAATCTTAGATTTAATGTTTTATGTAAGTACATTATGTCCTTATCGAATAGTATTTGTTATGAAAATCATCCAATGACATACTGATAGGGACCATGGTAAAAGAAAACTGGAAAAGAAGAAAGTTATATAACATTTAAAAATGTAGAAAACTCAATAGCATGATTTAAGATGAAGATTAACATTGTTAAGGCTGTATATTCAAGCACTGTATGTTAAGAGAGCAATGGATATGAATTTTAGGCAATAAGAAATGTCCTGCATTGTGGATGGTACTGTAAAGAAAGAATGATGCTGTCAACAACTGATTGTTGGCATAAACTGGCTATTTATAGCAGTATGTAAGTTAATAAAGTTTGCAGAAGATGACAGAAATGAATTCTGAAAGATGATAGCCAGTTTTCTCCAGCAGTCAGCCTAATAAGTAAAACTCAGAGAATCTAGGTCTGCATCTAAATGAAATACTCCTTTTTCTCCTCTGCATTGACTTGGCTGCCTTCTGCATTGATAATGGCTGTGTCAGCATCAGGTGCATCTTCAGCTCCTTTAGCTTCATTTGTTAAATATGTTCCTATGGGAATCAGTACAATAAAAAAAATAGTTATTTTACTTTAGATTGTTGTATGTACAGTAGATCTGTAACAAAGATCTAACTGGTTTAATGAATGGAGTGATGCAGAACAGAACTTGATGCACTATTTTAGCACTAACTATACTGGTACACATAATATTCTAATTTGGGCAAGAAGTAATTATGATTCATAACACTTGTCCCATATGCACATATATTTGCACATATCTGTGGCAAAAAAAAAAAGGTACAGCACGTTCAAAACCATATTTTTTCTATCTCCAGTGGCATGAAGCATACAAATATTTTAACATACAATAGTTTAAATTATATCTCTGTGTATTATATGGTATATCTAGATGGGTAAGAAAATTAACTTTGAATGGCTTAGATTTCATTAAACACATGTTTTTGAAAAATGGCTTCTAATTAGTTTTGTACTCTCACATTGATGTAGGCCATTTTTTATCTGCTCTTTAATTCCACAGACTAGGATAATTAAGATTCTCTAGAAGTGCAAAACTGAAATAGCTGCATTAAGTTAACCCAGTCACTTCACATTGCCACTGACATTGCTTTGCTAAATAGTATAAGAGCAGGATATTAATAGAGCTGTATGCAACAGACAATTTTCACTTTGTGAAAAATCATATTTACATTGGCTTGGAACTCATTTGTTTTCAGCCAGGAAGTAGAGCAAAGGTGCCACATTTTCACCAGAGTAATTAGAAATTTGTAATTTTTCACACAGTTCTACTGAAATTTAAAAGAAAAATATTTCTCAATTTGTATTTACTAACTGCATGACTACCCTATGTGGAATTAGATTTAATAATAGTAATACTTTTTGGGGAGGAAGGTAAACTAAGGTTAACAACTACACTGCAAGCCATTCAGACATTAAGTCTTCAAAAATGTTTTTCTAACAATCACCTGGGTCAAATTCTAAAATTTGTCCTCTGTTTTACTCAGACGCTTCTCTCCATTGACTTTAATGGGAGTTTTTCCCTCAGTAAGCGTAATGTAAAAATTGAGTCAGGACTTCAGAATTTTGCTCCTGGAGTGAAATCCTGGCTACATTGGAGGCAATAGCAAAACTTATGCTGATTTCAGTGGGACAAGGATTTTACCCCTTGTTTTTAACGCAACTTATTGAATGTGTATTTAAAGTTTTATCATGATTTCTGGTAGTTAAAGCCTCATTCAATAACCATATATATTCTGCTGAATTAATATAACAGTTAAAATTATGAGGACATGTAACTGAGTGCTTACAGCAAAGGGCTAGAATCTAGGCGCATTCGTCCTTCTAAATCTCCCTTAGCCACTGACTCACTACATGACCTTGGGCAGGTTGCTCAACATCCTTTCGCTTCAGTTAATCCAACTGTAAAATTGGGTAAAAAATCAGGACCTCACTGAAAACCAGATGCTTCTTCTGAGCCTGAGCTTTCCCAGGCAGCTAAATTCCAAAGGGGAGGGTGGGGGCAGAGAGGGCACGAGAGTGTTTGAGGGTGAAAGTAATCATGAGAAAGTATTGCTGCAAAAGGTGATTGCAGTTTGATTAAATCTGTCCTACCTTTATGTCTTGCCAGATATCGTCCAAGCAGAATTATAGAACATAATGTGACAAAGACAACTACAGCCACTACTCCTCCTATGAGAGCATGGTCAGGTCCAGTCTGTCCAGCCAAAGCATTTGGGTCTAGGGGGGAGGAAAAACAAAAGTTGTCCTGATCAGATAAGAATTGATATGAAAATGCACAGCAGCAAGTTTATACTGATCATTCTGAAAATAGAGCATTTCCCTCTTAAATATTCAGGGTGGTTATTCCCCCTCTTTTACTACCAGTATCTTATCAACAGCATAGCATTGCATGTATTCCCAGACTGTTAAAGCCCTGAGGACATCACAGTTATGAAAAATGTTACCTTATTCTTCCTTGGCAGAGGTTATTAAATGGGAAAGGTTTCTGGTTTTGTCCTAGTTGTATTACAACTGAAAATCTGCAATAGCTATTTATAGAAGCAAAAACAAGGAATTGAGAATTGGGGATCAGATAGCATCAGCAGAATACTGTCTGCATAATACATAATTTATATGACTGAGTCTCAGTGGGGATCCCTTATATAGTCTCTTCTTGTCGTTCCTTTCCAATTGCACGAGAAATAAAAAAGGAGATAAAGTGCAGACTTTCCAAGTTCTTCTGCAGATGGCTGAGTCTGCAGGAATTTGGTCAGATAAATGTATCATGTATCCTTAAAGATCCTTGTTCACTCTCAAATGTTGATTTGTGAATTTACTACAGTTATCCAATTAACATTGACGTTAGTAAACTCTAATAGATTTTAACAATACATTAGCAGTTTCATTTCATTCACTGTGCACAAAACATTAGGATTATTGTCAGATTTAAGCTTTTTATGCTGGTCATTTATCTATTAGTGAGCCTGGTGCATTACAGAAGGCTCCAAAGAAGCAATCATGGAAAATGACACTGTTTAGGGGTCAGTAATTCCCCAGAGCTTTTGAAGAATGAACTGGTAACCTTCAAGTCTTGCTTCATCTGAAATATGCTAGAGGGGGGAAAAAAGAGTCAATCCTACAGTAGCATTGTAAGATTTCTCTTCTTTTTTTAAATGAAAAATCCCTCAGTCTCAAACGAATAGTAATTCTCCCAAGATTGAGGGTTGTGTATTAGCTTGCTCACTCTATAGTAATCAGTCTGCACACACTGCTTCAAGGACATTTCCCTTTTAGGCATTGTTTATATTCTACAAACAGTTTGCAAATAGCTGTCTTGCAACGGCGGAAGATGGAAATACCATTAACACAGAAAAGAGGACAAATCAGTAAAATCTGACTGGGAAAAGCTGCTGACAATGTATGGGAAGTGTAACACGCTTGTTTGGCTTTTTTGTGATTTTTTAATTAATTTTCATAAGGACACAATCACAAATACAGAAAGATAAAAGATGTACAACTTGTATATGTTACCAAATTCTGCATATTTCACAGGTAGCCAATAAAATTATGCAATTACACAGTTACAGCTTGTCAAAGCTGCAAGACCAGATCATACAAATCAGACAAATTATACAGACATAAAATGTTAGGGTGAGGGTAAAAATAATAGTAATGATAATAATAATAATAATGCCATACACAAATAGGCAAAAAAAGGGGAAGGGAGCAAGAAGCTGGAGGGAAAAAGCAAAGAGGTGAGGTGGACTAGAAGTCTGGCATCCATTTGAGCTATCTCAGCATTCTTTATCCAAATGTATCAAGAACCAGGATCCAAATTTCTTCAAATTCATATAATTGCTCTCTGCAGCAATAAGATATTCTTCTTCAAGTGCTTGCTCATGTCGATTCCAGTCTAGGTGTGTGCATGCCCAGTGCGCAGTTGTCAGAGATTTTTGCCTTATCAGAATCTGTAGGATTGGCAGTGGCGCTCCCTTGAGTGCCATGCTCATGCATCGGTATATCAGGCACCACCGGCCCTACACCCTCTCAGTTCCTTCTTACCGCCTGTGGTGGTTAGTCTAGCGGTTTCGTCTCTTCTGCCTTCGAGCCTTAGGGCCTTGTAAATAGTTTGTTTATAGTAGTTAGTGTTAAGTTAAGTTAAGAGTAGTTGTAGTTAGAAGTTAGAGTCCCAGCGGGGACTTCACCCTAGGTAGGGCATGCCCTGGTCTCCTGGGTTTAAGCCCTGCATGGACTGTAACAGGTCTACGCCTTTAAGTGACCCCTATAGCAGCTCCCTCAAGTGCTTGGGGGAATCACTGCTCAGTGCTCCCTCCAAATAGCATGGGACACAGCTGACTCGGTGGCTAGGCTGGTGACATCAGAGGCGGTTATGAGTGGCACTCCTGGCTTCAGACCACCGGCCTCTCCCAAAAGATGCAGACCTTGATCCAAGACCTCCCATTTGATGGGATTGGTCTTTTTTCAGAGCAGACGGATGTGAGGCTGCATGGGTTAAAAAACACTCGGGCTACCCTTCGCTCGTTGGGCATGCATACTCCACAGTCTGCAAGAAAGCAGTTACGGCCACCTGTGCCGCCAAGGCCTTGGCAGTCTCTTCCGGGGTCTGCAAGGAGAAGGAACAGGGATGTTAATTTCAGCTGCCATCGCCCTTCCTCCTCCTGCTCACCTGCGTGGCCTGGCAAAGCATCCTGGGGGCCAGAAGCGCTGGTTTTGAGTGTGCAGTCGAGAGCAATGTCCCCTCCCAGGATCCACCCCACTCTTTCCTCAACCGTCTTCATCCCTACTGTTTGGCCTGGTCACAGGTGGAGGAGGTCCCTTGAGACATGACAGGAAAGGGATTCTACTCCCATTATTTCCTAATCCCGAAAGCAAAGCGGGCCTCAAACCCATTCTGGACCTGCAATGCCTCAACAAGTCTCTCAAGGTCTCCCTGGCCTCCATCATCCCCTTCCTGGATCAGGGAGACTGGTATGCTTCCCTTGACTTGAAGGAAGCTTATTTCCATATTTCAAGGTCACAGACATTTCCTCCGTTTCATAGTGGGTGGCCGTCATTTCCAATTCATGGTGCAGCCCTTTGGCTTCTCATTGGCCCCAAGGGTCTTCACAAAAGGTATGGCGCCAGTAGCCACTTACCTGAGATGTTGAGGGGTCCAGGTCTTCCCGTATCTCAACGACTGGCTCATCAAGGGCAGGTCTTGGGAACAAGTACAGAGGAGCCTGGATCTGGTGCTTTCCACCTGCTGCAACCTGGGTCTGTTGATAAACGAGCAAAAATCCATCTTAAGGCAGTCCAAATAATAGAGTTCGTCGGGGTGGTTCTTGACTCCACATGAGTCGGAGCCTTCCTTTCGGAGGCTTGTTTTCAGGCCATGCCGGACCTGATCTCCCATGTGAAGAACCACCCACTCACCACGGCTCACACCTGCCTGTGATTGTTGGGCCACCTGGCCACTTGGGCCACATTCATGGTCAGTCATGTCCAGCTCCGGCCTCTGCAAGTCTGGCTAGCGTCTGTTTACATCCCTAACAGACATGACCTACACTGGGAAGTCAGGGTGCCGGATCACATTCTGTCATCCCTGGAGTGGTGATTGAACCCTGGGTCAGTGTTGGAGGGAGTTCCCTTCCTGGCTCTGGCCCCAGCCCCGTTGCTGACCCTAGTCTCAGATGCTTTGGACCTGGGCTGGGGAGCCCATCTGCGTGAGTTCAGCACACAAGGCTGCTGGCTGCAGGACAAGCTGGCCCTTCATACCAATGTCAGGGAGCTAAAACCAGTTTAGCCTGCCAGGCTTTTTTGCCCCACCTGAAGCGCACGATGGTACAGGTCCTCACAAACAATACTGCCACGATACCACCACACAACAGGCAGGGTGGAGCCAGGTCGTCGGCCCTTTGCCAAGAAGCTCTCAGCCTTTGGGACTTCTGTGTGTGGCATGCCATCCATTTGATGGCCAGGCATCTGCTTGGGACCCTAATGTGTTAGCAAATTGCCTCAGCAGGACCTTCTCATCTCGCTACAAGTGGTCGCTCCACTCAGAGGTGATCAGTATGATCTTCCGAAAGTGGGGAACTCCCCAGGCGCCCCGTCAGAACAGGAAATGCCATATGTTCTGTTCACTCTAAGGGATGGACAGGGGTTCCTTGTCAGATGCTTTTCTGCTCCCATGGTCGGGGCCCTGATGTACGCCTTCCTGCCAGTACCGTTGATCCACAGAGTCCTCATGAAGATCAAACAGGACAAGGACAAGATTATCCTGATAGCCCCCGAGTGGCCTCGCCAACATTGGTTCGGCACACTGCTAAACCTTTCAGTAGCCTCCCTGGTGTGGCTACTTCTCTGGACGGACCTGATGTCCCAGGACCACGGCAGTCTTCTGCACCTGAACCTGGAGGCATTGCACTTGTCAGCGTGGCTACTGCATGTATGAATGCAGAAGAGCGGGACTGCTTGGCCTGGATTTAACAGGTCTTGCTGGGTAGTAGAAAGCCCTCCAGCAGAGCAACTTATCTGGCCAAGTAGAAAAGGTTTACATGCTAGGCTTTGGAACGATGTGTCTGGGCTGAGCAGGCCTCGCTGCAGGTGACCCTGGATTACTTTCTGCACCTCAAACTTCAGGGCTTGGTCCTGTCATTGATCAGGGTCCACCTGGCCGCTATTTTGGCTTTCCACCCTCCCTTCCAAGGCAGGTCAGTCTTCACTCATGACATGATGGCCCAGTTCTTGAAAGGTCTGGAGAATCTTTAACCTCACATGCAGGACCCCGTCCCTCCCTGGGATTTGAATCTCGTGCTGTCGAGGCTCATGGGGCCTCCCTTCAAACCTCTGGCTTCCTGCTCCCTTCTCCTTCTCTCCTGGAAGGTTTCGTTCCTGGTTGCAGTTATATCTGCCTGCAGGGTATCTGAGATCAGGATGCTTACTTCAGAACCTCCCTGTACGGTAGTCTACAAAGATAAGGTCCAGTTGCGGCTGCACCTGGTGTTCCTGCCCAAGGTAGTTTCCCAGTTTCATATCGTCCATACTTACCAGTCTTCTTCCCGAAACCCCATAAATCCGAAGAGGAACGCAGGTTGCACACCTTGGATATCAGGAGGGTGCTGGCCTTCTATATTGACAGGACAAAGCCATTTCACAAGTCAACGCAGCTGTTCGTTGCGGTGGCAGATAGGATGAAAGGTTGCCCAGTGTCTGCTCAAAGGATTTCGTCCTGGATCACA